CACAATTAGAGTAAACCCTCATTAGGATTAATTTAGAATTACCAACAGTCTGCCTGCCTCTCCACCCACAAGAAACACTGAAAACATATAGTGTGAAAATATCATATATATGGTTTTGTTTGAATATAATTGGTGAAAGTGTTGGTTTTAAAAAGGAGCAGCAGTTGGTTTGTTTTATTTATTTTTACTTTTATTCTCATTCCATTCTTGATTAAAAGTTTTCTTTAAGTTGTTTATATAGGAAAATTGTCACACTAACTTAAAAGGAGAGGAATATGTAAATTGTTTGCTACCAAATGAAAATCCTGAAAAGGGTATATTTATCAGAGGGCTTCAAAAGTTTGTGGAAAAAGTGGAATTAAAGGACAATGGAATGGGGTATGGAAAATTGTCCCCCCCCAAAATTGTGTGGCACAGTTAAATATTCAACTGCTAACCCAAAGGAGGGTGGTTAGAATATGCCAGCTGCTCGGCAGAAGAGCAGCCTCGATGATCGGCACTTGTAAGGTGCTCATTTAGGAGCATCTGTGGCGCAATTTCACTGTCATGTAACTTGGACGCACACGGCAATAATAGATATTATGCCACGTGTGTAGTTTTGTTTGAATATAATTGATGGGAGTGTGGACTTTTTTTAAGTGTTGGATATATGAATATCATAAATGTGTGTACCCTACATATATGGTGTGTGTATACCCATATATATTCCAAATATATATCCATATAATATCACATATATATAAGCCAAACAACCTCCAGGAGGTACTGTAATTGCACTCGTTGAAAATAATTAAGGGAAATAGAAAACATTTAAATTACTTTAAAGTCACTCAGAGGATAGAGGCATTTTCAAATCTAGGACTGGCTCCCAAGTCCGTGCTTTTTCTACTCATTCCTCCGAAACATGTGATAATCAGTGGAGGGAAGCTGCCTCATCCACCAAGCCCCGCTCTCCCCTTGGAAATATGGCATACTCAAGTAAAATTACAATCCATGTGCTCAGTGTACAAAGTATACTATTCTAACTCAGTAACTTTCATTGACATCATTATGAGGGCATACTTTTTAAAGTGTGAAATATTTTATATGAAGACTATTTACATTATTCGACCTAAACCCTATATTTCAGCAATGGCTAGCTGATTCTAGAATGAATGGGTAGATAGATGATAGATAGATAGATAGATAGATAGATAGATAGATAGATAGATAGATAGATAGATAAAAGAAATACTTTTTTTCCCAGAAATAATTCACTGAGAATGAGCAAGATATAATTAAGCACTTTTAAACAACCTACATTAGAGTCAACAAATTTCTGTTGGACGTTTTTGTTGTTCGATGGCTGTCAAGTTAGTTTTGCTTCATAGCAACCCTGTGCACTACAGAACGAAACACTGCCTGGTGCTGCACGACCCTCACAGTCGCTGCTCTGAGATTCAATGAGCCCATTGTTACTGCCAGTGTGCAAATCCAACTCACTGATGGTCTGCCTCTTTCTGACCTTTGACTTTATCCAGCACGAGATCCTTCTCTAGGGCTGCTCTTTCTGAATGAAGAACACAAGGACTCTGGTCTCACTCTCCTCGCTTCTAAGGCGTGTGCTTCCTGTGCTTCTTCCACATTAGACTGGTTTGTTCTTTTGGTAGTCTTTGCATATCAATAGTCTGCCAACACCAGAATTTAAATGTTTAAATTTTCCTCCTATCTTCCTTTTTCATTATCCAGTTTCCACATGCATAAGAGACAACTGAACGTATCATGGCTTGGATAGGTGACTGAATTTGTAGACAGAAAAAGGCTCTAGACAGAGAATATCTTGATTTCAGTGAGGCACTGGGCATATCTTGTAGAAATGAATGAAAAATAACAATAACAGAGTAATGTAGACTGATGGATTAGTAAAACAATAAAAACCAGCAGTTGCCACACATTTGGTTGTCGTTCATGGAATCCATTTGTGTGGGCGTCTGACTGTGCTCCAC